GCAACCTTTGCCTCCTGGGTCCAGGTGATCCTCCCTCCTCAGCCTCCCAAGTAACTGGGTTATAGGTATGCACCACCACACTTGGCTAATTTTTATATTTTTAGTAGAGATGGGATTTCACCATGTTGGCCAGGCTGGTCTTGAACTCCTGACCTCAAGTGATCCACCTGTCTCAGCCTCCCAAAGTGCTGGGATTATAGGTTTGAGTCACCGTGCCTGACCTGGAACATTTCTTGTTGGGTCATCTTATATGGTGTCTGTGCAGGCCACAGGAAGCATAACATCTTCTTTCTCTACTCCTTGCTGCCTGGGCAGCCTCAGTCAGCCTCCTGTCCTCAGACTTTTGCAAGCAAGAAGCAGGCACTAATTTCTGTCTTTGTCATGCATACCCCTTCCTCCTGGGGATGTATATCAAGTTCTCCCAAGAACTCTTCCACACCCTGCTCTGGCAGCTGCTTGCGCATTTTCTTACCTAGGCAAGCATCCAGCTGGGGAGAGCGATGTCCATCTCAATTTATATTCAATCCTTATCTCTTTGGATGCTTCTCTTGGGAACCCCTCGTGTTTGTTACGAGATATGTGAAGGGAACACCACGGCACCCTACCCAGCTAACAACTTTATACCTTGATCCCTCTCTTCAGTTTCACTTTGGTTTTAGGGCTGTTTTGCCTTTTGTTGTTGTTGTTGTTGTTGTTGTTTTAAACCTAATTCCTGCATGGATGTGACTAGTGTGTCTATTTATTTATTTATTTATTTATTTATAGATGGATTCTTGCTCTGTTGCCCAGGCTAGAGTGCAGTGGTGTGATCTTGGCTCACTGCAACCTCCACCTCCCATGTTCAAGCAATCCTCCTGTTTCAGCCTCCTGAGTAGCTGGAATTACAGGCACACACCACCACGCCCAGCTAATTTTTGTATTTTTAGTAGAGATGGGGTTTCACCATGTTCGTCGGACTGGTCTCGAACTCCTGACTTCAGGTGATCTGCCCATCTCGGCCTCCCAAAGTGTGGAATTACAGGCATAAGCCACCGCGCCTGACCTATTTATTTATTTGAGACAGAGTGTTACTCTGTCGCCCAGGCTGAAGTGCAGTGGTGTGATCTTGGCTCACTGTAGTCTCCACCTCCCAGGTTCAAATGATTCTCCTGCCTCCCAAGTAGCTGGGATTATAGGCGCCTGCCACCATGCCTGACTAATTTTTGTATTTTTAGCAGAGACGGGGTTTTGCCATACTGGCCGGGCTGGTCTTAAACTCCTGATCTCAAGTGATCCCCCTGCTTTGGCCTCCCAAAGTGCTGGAATTACAGATATGAACCACTCTGCCTGGCCTATTTATTTTTGGAGATACTGCCTCATTCTGTCACCCAAGTGGAGTGCAGTAGCATGATCATAGCTCACTAGTAGCCTTGAAGTCCTGGGCCCAAATGGTTCTCCTCCCTCAGCCCCCTGAGTAGGCTAGAGCTACAGGCATGCACCACCACACTCCACTAGTTTTTTAATTTTTTGTAGAGACAGGATCTCACTATGTTGTCAGATTGGTCTTGAACTTCTGGCCTTAAGCAATCCTCCTGCCTCAGCCTCAGAAGCACTGGGATAATTGGTGTGAGTCACCGCATTCAGCTTGTGTCTTTCTTTAGAGCGAATGGGAGCTTATTTTCCCTGGTCCTCAGCTTTGAGCTTTTGTTAAAATTCCATGACAACAGGAAAACTCCTGTTCCTTATCTAATATAGAAGCCGATAGTCTCATCTTTAAATTCTGGAGAACATTAATAGTAATAAGAGTTAAAATATGGTCCAACCTAAGAAACTAGTTTTCCTTTAATTGACTGTCCCCACCCCCTGCCAAATACGCTTTTACTGTAAAGTCTTTAGAAGAAAAGCACCATAGAACAACCATTAGTAGTACTTTACTTAAAAATGAATGAGGGGCCAAATGCAGTGGCTCATGCCTGTAATCCCAGCACTTTGGGAGGCCGAGGTGGGCATATCACCTGAAGTCAGGAGTTTGAGACCAGCCTGGCCAACATGATGAAACCCCGTCTCTACTAAAAATACAAAAATTAGCCAGGTGTGGTGGCAGGTGCCTGTAATCCCAGCTGCTCAGGAGGCTGAGGCAGGAGAATCGCTGGAATCCAGGAGGCGGAGGTTGCAGTGAGCCAAGATCACTCCAGCCTAGGTGACAGAGAGACACTCCATCTCAAAAAAAAAAAAAAAAAGAATAAGGGCCAGGTGTGGTGGCTGAACCTATAATCCTGGCACTTTGGGAGGCCAAGGTGGAAGGATAGCTTGAGGCCAGAAGTTTGAGATCAGCCTGGACAATATAGGGAGACCCTGTCTCTACAATACAAATAAAAAACAAACAAACAAAAATGAGTGAAAGTAATTTTACTTTTTAATAAAGCTCCCGAGAATATAATTAGTTTATTTTTACGTAAAGAAAGTGTCTTCCCATTGTGTTAACACTATTAGTTGAAAGAAATAGAGATTCATTTAGATTGCAGAAACAAATGGAGATTTAGAATGAGATTATATAAGAACGTAGCAATGAAAGGCACCTCCATGACACAGCTAGGCCTTACGGTACTCTGCCATTCGTATCATTCATTGTCTTGGTTCACTTGGGCTGCTATAACAAAATACCATAAACTGGGTAGCTTATAAACAACAGAAAAAGATTTCTCGTAGTTCTGGGTGCTGGGAAGGCCAAGATCAAAGTGCTGGCAAATTCAGTGTCTGGTGAGGGCCTGCTTAACTATTCATGGACAGCTGTCTTTTCACTGTGTCCTCACATGGCTGAAGGGACAAATGAGCTCCGTCAGGCCTCTTGTAAGGGCACTAATCCAACTGAGGAGGGCTCTGCTCTCATGACCTCATCACCTTCCAAAGGGCCTACCTCCTAAGAGCCTCACTTTGGGGGTGAGAACTTCAGCATATGAATTTTGGGGCAATGCAAACATTGAGACCACAGCACCCACTTACTTTTTTGTTCTTTTTCTCTCATGTCTGCTTCAACTTCTACCAACTTCTTAATTCTCTCTATGTGTCTGTAGTTTAAATTCCTGAGTAAGGATCTCATAGGTCAACCAATGACTTCATCCCTGTTCGGGTAGAGCTTTCACACTGGGTTTCTTAGAGGCCGTTAACCAGTGTAAAGATTGACTTACCTGTGTTCCCATGTAGGGCTGCTCCTGTGAGCATGGCAGTTGCTCTCAGAAGTGGACTGTGAGTGTGGTGGGCACCATGAGTGATCAGTCTAGCACGATGGTTGTAGGTAATAATGATTAATTATTTGTTTTGATGACCAACCTCTTTTTCCCATATTTCTCAAAGTTTATAGGTGAGTAAAGAACCAAAAAGTTAAAAAAATATAGACTGCTTATGTACTGCATATCTAGTTATATGTGATATATAGGGATATATTTGCATAGAGTATATGAACTATAACATATAAAACTATGTAATTATAGAGTTTGTGATACAGGTGGGCATCCAAGTAAACTAACAGTTTAGTTATGTGGCCTAGCCAGGAAACAACATGTTGTACTCAACTAGATATTTTGGTTATCTGAGGTTTGAATTGCTTTCCTGAATTTTGTATCTTGCTCCCTTTCTAGTCCTCTTCCTTTTGGAAATACATTTCTTTTTTTTTGTTTTGTTTTTGAGACAGGGTCTCACTCTGTTGCCTAGCTGGAATGCAGTGGCGCAATCATGGCTCACTGCAGCCTCAACCTCCCGGGCTCCAGCAAGCCTCACACCTCAGCCTCCCCAGTAACTGGGAGCACAGGTGTGTGCCACCACACCCAGCTAATTTTTTTGTAATTTTTTTTTTTTTTTAATAGAGATGGGGTTTTGCCATGTTGTCCAGGCTGGTCTTGAACACCTGAGCTGAAGCAATCTGTCTGCCCCAGCCTCCTGGAAATATATTCCTTTTATCCCTCCTCCCTACTCTGTAGCATCCCTAGAGCTCATCTTACAGTGGTTGGTGAACTCCCATCCAATCACAAGTATACTGTAATTATTAACTTATTTGGTTGCCAATTCAACAACGGTGGTTTTTAAAAAAATCACTGGCTCTTCTTAGGGGTATTTTCCCATACATCCACCTTTGATATCTGAGTTGGCTATGATGGGCCAGCTAGTGAATAACCCTGGTTTTATTGGGTAGTTAAAATCTAATGTAAATGGAAGATTTGATATGGCAGGTAGAGTTTCAAATGTGTCTAATGAAAGGTCCTATT